CCCAGTAACTGTACGTGCCAAAGTACTAGTTCAAGACCTATGGAAGATGAAATTTGATTGGGACACACCACTTCCGGTTGATATCATTAACACCTGGGCTCATTTGAGCATCGACCTGAACAGCGTAATTCAGACCAAGTTCCAGAGACCATATTTTCCAACCACTGAAAATACAGCGAATTCCGCCGATTTTAATTTACACGTGTTTGTCGATGCAAGTGCACGTGGTTATGAAGCCGTAGCGTATCTTACGTCCGGTCATACATCTACCCTTGTATTTGCAAAGAATAGAGTCGCACCTGTCAAAGAGATAACTTTACCTAGACTAGAACTGATGGCAGCACTCATCGGTGCACGTGTAACCCAACACGTGTCAAATCCAGTCACGTGCAAGAAAATCACATGTTGGTCCGACAGTCAAATAGTGTTAAGTTGGCTGAAATCTACAAAGACACTAAAACGCTTCATTTTGAAAAGAGGCGAAGAAATCAAAGAAACTGACCCCCGATATTGAAAGGCGATATTGTCCAACAGATCAAAATCCCGCTTATTTACAAACCAAAGGTCTAACTGCGACCCAGTTACAGTCAAGCAAATTATGAAAAAATGGACCTACTTGGTTAATTCACAACAATAAATGGCCGACTTTGGAACAAACCAGGGCAATCACATTCACTGCGTTGACGGAACAAAATTCAGAGGAAGAAATAATATGTGACAACAGAGGTAACTCTGGATTACCTCAAATTCTAGAGTAAAACAGATATAGCAGCTTTCACAAGTTATTACGTGTTACAGCATACGTTATACGTTCACTAAATACTGCAGAGTGACGTATAATAATCGCCAAAGTTGTCCATTATCAGACGTCAGAAGCCCCAAATGTTGATAAAATATAACGATATTATACAGGAACAAGAAAATAGAGGTTTCATTGAAAGAGTAGATGAAAGTTCCACAGCAAAACACGTGCATTATATACCCCATCATGGAGTTGAAAAGAATTCCACAACAACGTCCATACGAATAGTTTATGACTGTAGTTGCCGTCTATCAGAAAGAAGTCCAAGTTTAAACGACTGCATTGAATCCACACCTCCAGAGCTGAATGATCTAACCGCCCTTCTGTTAAGATTTCGGCTTGGTAGATATGCAGTATCAACTGACATAGAGAAAGCCTTTCTACATGTCGGTTAACACGAAGATGACAGAGATATAACCAGATTTCTATGGTTATCAGACCCTACAGATCCAAAGAGCCAGCTCGTGACATACAGATTTCGAGTTGTCCTTTTTGGAGCCACATGTTCCCCATTTACTCTCAATGCTACATTAATAAAACACATGGCCCTGAATGCAAGTAACCCTGCCGCTAATATAATTACTAAAGACCTATATGTCGACTTTGGAACAAACCAGGGCAATCACATTCACTGCGGTGACGGAACAAATTCAGAGGAAGAAATAATATGTGACAAGAGAGGTAACTCCGGTTTACCTCAAATTCTAGAGTTAAACAGATAAAGCAGCTTTCACAAGTTATTACGTGTTACAGCATACGTTATACGTTTCACTAAAAACTGCAGAGTGACGTATAATTATCGCCAAAGTGGTCCATTAACTAGTGAAGAGCTGAGATTAGCAGAAGGAAAACTGATTGAAACTTGCCAACAATAATATTTCCCAGACGTAATACAAGATCTAACATCCCAGAAAAAACAAAGTCCAATAAATAGGCAGCTAAGACTTCATATAGACAAAGATGGTTACCCCCGTTGTTTTCGTTGTGGCGGAAGAATACATAACGCACAGTTGCCAGAGACAACAAGATTCCCGTTTCTTATGTCCCCAAAAGGTCATGTCACCAGACTGATAATAGAAGACGTCATTACAATCAATTACATGCAGGTGTCGCCCATACTGTTTACCCATCTACACCAGAAGTACTGGATTACCGTCAATCAGACAGCACGTGAAAAGTGTTCTCCGGAGATGTATCATTTTGCAGAAAAGTTACAGGAAGACCCCATACCGTCCCAGATCCCCCACCATTTCCGGTTTCCAGAGTAATCGTCGAACCACACTTCTCCGTAACAGGTGTCGATTTCACAGGGGCACTTTACATTTAAGAAAAAGCAAGTTCAGCAGAATGTATACATATGTCTCTATTCACGTGTGCCAAAACCCGTGCTGTTCACCTAGAAATAGTTCCAGACCTTACAGAAGAATCATTTATGTTAGCCTTCAGACGATTCATAAGCAGACGATCATTACCAAGACTGATGATATCTGATAATGGTACCACCTTTCATGCAGCAGTCAATCAAATCCAGCGACTCTATAATTCGCAAAATCTTAATACTGCCCTTACACAAAGAAGAACAAACTGGCAGTTTATTCAAAAAAGAGCACCTTGGTATGATGGAATGTGGGAGCGATTAATTGGTGTTATGAAAACAGCGATTAAGAAAATTCTCGGCAAAGCCTCCATTAATTTGCAAACGCTGCAGACGATAGTTACTTAAGTAGAGGAATGATGAACAACCGACCAATTTACAACGTTTCATCTGCTAGAGATGCTCAAAAGCCTCTCACCCCTTCACACTTACTACATGGACGCAGACTGACAACTCTACCATTCTACGATACTGTGGTCTACCATAGCAAAGGTGACGATGTTCGACAACGTGCTAGACGACGTTAGGAGTTAATTAATCACTACTGGTACCGCTGAAAACACGAGTATCTGACGTCATTAAGAGAATACCAACGGTCGAGTGGTACCACAAGTCAGACTATTAAAGTTGGAGACGTTGTTATTGTCCAAGACGACTTTACACACAGGCTACAGTGGAGCCATGCGGTAGTTGATGAACTTTTAACGGGAAATGACGGGTTTTCGAGGGATACGTACATCCTGAGGGCTAACAACACGACCGATTGTCAAATTGTACCCATTGGAAATTATCCAGACACCAGATAAATAGACATTACGATACTTATTGAAATATTTATCCTATATCGCTAATATTTCGTGAAAAGATAATTCAATTTGTATAATCATAGAAGAGTGTAAATAATTCAAAACAGAGACTTTACATAGCGCCAATCTGTTGTTTGATATAATTATCTAAATATAGCTGTTTTAATTAGGGTGCTTAACTTCAATATGATTTTAAATAAGTAATTTTATTACTTTATGTTTTTGTATGACAATTATTACATTTAGCATTTCTGAGGCCCGGAGAATGTTGTAGATTTGGCGCGACGTCACGTTACGTCGCTTTTGCGCTCATTGATAATTTAACGTAACGTCATTTCCTATGTATGTAAACATTCAGTTTGAATAAAGGAAACGAACCGTACACAACGCCTAGTTTTACTCACGATCACGTCCTCACACGTGATGTTTATAGCTACTGGTTAACTAACTTATGACCTCTCATTTCTGATTGCGTCGATAGTGCCCATGCTGAGGACTCATATTTCTTAATTGAAAAATGTTATATATGTTTTAGTATTTTCTTCTTTGTAACTATGCATGAAATATATCTTAAGATTGTTATATCTTTCGCTTTTCTTCTTTGTTACTATAAATGGTATCTACTTTGGACTTGAGATATAGAGGATATTGAATGAGTATAAGTTCAATACTGAATTTATTGCACGAGTTGAATAAAATTATATTATGCGAGCCTCTGGCGAGCATAATATTATTTTATTCAACGAGTGCAATAAAGTCAGTAATGAACTTACACGAATTTAATATTCTATTTATCACTTACCCAAAATCAAGACCGTTTAAAGTGAAATAAGAGTCATTTTTTATTGACGCGCCTATAGTATAACGCTAACATTTAGCGCGTCTTTACACTATGTTTGTATAACGCTAATGACGTCACGTCAAGATATATATGCACGGCCGTGCAATACCATATTTACGGAGTCGCAAAATCGGCACGGGTGTGTGATACCATATTTTTTTTCACCACTCACAGCATCTTTATTTAAAGAGTTATCTCCTCGTTATTTTAATTCTTTTGGTTTAGCCATCCCTAAAAACTGTTTTCTGAGATTACTTTTTAAGAACTTGGGACGTTTCAAACAAATTTACTAGCAATAGAGAAAAGTTTAAACATTAGGTAATTATATTCATCCTGAAAAAATAGATCTTTTGATTATATATTGTATAAATATAAATTCGTATAAAGCATGGAAACTTAACAAAATAATATGATACAGATTAACTAAGAACTCGAAATGTTTAATGTTCATTTATGTCTTCCAAAATGGCATAATTGAATGATCACGGCCCTTCGGAATGTTGCTGGGGTTCTGAACGGCAGAATACTTATACATGCATTGCTTGCAATACTTTGATAAATGTTTTCTAATCTTGGTATACATCAAGCTTACGCATTGAATTGTATTCAAACTTGGTATTTAGGAATTCTTTTGGAAAATCCTGATTTGAATTGCTTTAGGACCCCTTGGTGTCAAGATCACTGTTACTTAAATAGAAAAAAGATTCCCGACGATAAATATCGTTAACAACAAGGTATTGTAATCAAACGTGGTATAAAGTGAGCTTATGAAAGGACCGAGCTAAAAATTTGTTTTGGATTTATCAAGGTCGATGTTTACCAAATAAGTAATTGATTGCAAATTAATTTTTTACCATAAATTTTAAATTTGTTACATATTTTACAGGTAGGCCTTAGAAACTGTATTATAGAAGGCCGCCATTCTCCTACAATCTGAATATGGAAAGTAGTTGAAGTGATGAGATTTTAAATCCTTCTTTCAGTTTAGATATTTGTTTTTAAAGAATACACTTCGGAAAAGACTTATTAAGGTAAAACATTAGTGCCGAAAGGAGTCTTAATTATTAAAAAGTTATTCGATTTAAAACAAGCTTTAAAGTGATGACAGTATTATCTGCCAAATGATTGAGCAAAACATATTGCAAGGTTTTCTAACTACACAATGTATACGCTTACCTGAATACGATATAAATACGACAAATAAACAGCTACACAGGAAAAGCATATCGTCCTACGTCTAAAAAGAATAAAAGGAAATGATATTAATATAATAATTTGTATTGCTTAATGTGATTCAAACAGTTTGACTTACAAACTATCAAAGTGTTCGAACGCAAGGAAATACACAATATTTTGTCATTCTACAAACTATATATAAAGGACATTTATATTGATCTTTTACTTGATTTCTTTCATAAATCACATTTTTTGATGATTTTCAATACAACAAAACAGTATTACATGTAAGCACGTCTAACATCAATTTAATTTTACACACACAATGCTATATTAAAGTTAAACCTGGTAGTCTAGATCTTTCCTTTTGATAGTATTAGAATTTTTATACTTAAAATGAAACAAATAAATTACAGATACTCACGTAACAAACACTTAAGCTGAAAAAACCAAATATATATTAAAATTTACTAACTTGATCTATATCTATATAATATTCAAGATTTACTTCATAAAAACATCTGGTATAACGAGTTGATGATCAATACATTTCGGAATGAACTACTATAATCCACAAAAATTCAGTTTTCTTCTACACAAGTGCGTTAAATGATTTAAGACCATTAGATTTGTTTTCTCAAAATTTATTGAAAACAGCAAAGCATTTTTAACTTAACATATAAACTTAAATTTTTATTATCAAAGTTATTGAGATATTAAATGAAAACAAAAACAACAACATAAGGATCAATTAGTAAATACATGCTTAATTCCCTTTCTACGTTTTATGAAAGTGACTGAAAGTGAATTTCCTCTTAATTAATTACATACCAATGTTGCTTGAAATATAATAGGTGTTACTAGATATATTATTTTCAATGAATGTCACATTGTAATTGTTCACTCTTATATAGTTGCCACACACTTTTCCCAAAAATATTCAAATAATGTACCTGTTAGCTTACATGTTTGAAAATTCACAGAAGGAGCATTTTATTCGGTTCATGTAATGGAAAAGTTACTGATAAGTATCAACGTTTAATGTCTTGGCTTCTTGTGATATTCACCGAGACCTGGCCGCGTTTAATGGTCAATAAATTTCAGTGTTCACCTTATTATCATGCACAAGCTGTATTATAATATTAAAACGCCTATCACTGTAAGTGTTAAAATATTTGTCCCAGTCATACACTTAATTGAAGACATGTAAAATGAGTTTAAATATTCGCATAACAAATACAAGAAACAGAAGGAATATTATCATTTCAAATATACATACAATACACCCTTACACTTGTACGTGCTTTTACACTTGTAGACATGTCAAGTACAAACATAATTGAAAACGTTGAGAGATAAAATAAATTGTCTATTTGGTAAATTTCAAGTTTGTCTTTTCTCTGTTTGTTTTTCTAACGTTGTTTATGATGTAACCATAATAAAGTGCTTTTATATGTTTTTTTAGTTTACAAAAGCATTGACTGTAATTTGTATATCCCTATGATAGAAAATATTTTTGTTAAAATGGTAACTTCCAAATTATACAAACATATTATTTTAATACACGTTTGTTGTAATAACTGCTCGTTTAAAAGTTGTATTTCATTATCTTTCGGTTTGTCTGACAAAATGC